ACCATGGAAAACCTGTAAGCACTGGACGCCGGTTAATAGTAATTCTTTTTGAGATGGTGGACAAGATTTGTAGCTCAGGTGGATAATTTTGATGGAGTTTTGTTCTCTGAACTGGATGGTTCGGTCGTGGAGCTTTCATCGTTCTTCTGAACGACATCATCAGCACAAACTTCAGATAGAAGTGAAATGTTCGAATTTATCCATATGCGTTTCACGGCTTGTTCTGTACATCTCTATGTTGATTGGTTCTTATTGACCTTAAATTTGTCATTGTCAACTTCTTTGTTTTGGTTGTGTCTCCTATTGGTTTGACTCTAGTTCCTATATTTGTGCATAATTTTCCTGATTGGTTGATAAATTGGATCGATTTCAATGTGTTTGCTGATTGACCTGAGTGCCAGGCTTCTAACAATTCTCTTGTGTTTTTGGAATTTCCTCTGTCCAAGATTTCCACATTTTTCCAATCGAATGTGTGTCCACAGTTGTCCACGTGTATTGATATAAGTGAGGAGATATCATGACGTTTGAATGCTAATTGATGTTCATGTAGGCGAAGGTGAAGGGGGCGTCTGTTTTGTCCGATGTAGTGTTTGTCGCAGTTGGCACCATTTATTTTGTAGATGATGTTTGATTTATCTTCTTTTGTTATTTCATCCTTTGGTTTGCATAGGATTGATTGTAGTGATTTTGTCGGTTTGTGTGCCACACCTCATTCTGGCCCATATTTAGTTTTTGACCGCTGGCCCCTAAATCAGAACAGTGTTTAGATAGAAATCTGCTAATATTTAAAAAACAAAACAGCAATTTAACTAAGTTTATATAGAAAGAAAAATGTTAGTATATTTATGTTTTTTGCACAAGAACATTCTAGAGTCTTCTCTACTTATCAATTAGTGCTGATTGGCTAGAAATAGGTCAGTCAGTACGCTATAACGTAATTCTCTATGGAACATGTAATAACCTAACCCATGTCCTGCTGACAGTTGGTAACCACAGAAGGAATACATCGTAGCACATTTTCTCTTGCTGATGACTTTTTCTGAAGTCATATCTGAACGTGGAGTAAGACTGGTTTTTGTCTCATCTCTAGAGATTTCAATGAGCCACATATCAACTGGTTAGAGCTTACAACTTCAGGTGGATGTATAGGTTGAAACCTACTGTTAACTATTCTTCAGTTCGAACTTATAAAATTTATCACAGAGCTAACATATTATAACTTGGAACATGAACAATCACTGCTGAACCTTGTCTTCACTCAACGTTATGAGGCTCCCGACATTGATTTCTTATCCCCACTAGCGAGCAGTGATCATACTTTACATTTTGAACAGATAATATATGTCTGTCTGCCACACTCCGTCCCAATATCTGGCGGGCTAACATTCCGCTAATCAGAGATTTTGTTATTCCAATAAATTGGTCAGTTAATTTAGTTGAGTTAATTGAGGGTGAATGGATCGAGTTTAAAACCTCATTCGAAGCCTCAGCAAATCAGTTCATTCTATGGTCAGCTCCACGTAAGCCATCACATTGACCTCCATGGATCGATCGAGAAATCCGGAAATCATTGTGGAGTAGGAAGCACGATTGAAACTTGGTCTTAATAGCGTGTCATGAATCGCTCAAGTGAGAGTACTGAAAGATTAGGAACTTATGTGAAACGCGTATAGCCAAATCTAGCACTACTTACGAAAGTCGGCACATGAGCCATAATCTCCCAAAACGATTTTTGTAATACATTGAGAAGAGAACGAAACAGTAAGATACAACGTAGGACCAGGCACATATATGCATCGGCCCAAGTTGCCGAACACATTAGCATAGCGAAATGAACACCGGATTCATAGTAGTAGTTAATTCAAACGTGGTAATATATATAAGAAAATTGCATATAAGGAGATAGTACAGGAAGAAAGAATTAGTTCGTAGAAAGAAAGATATGAAGCGATTTCAATCTCTTAGTTTAAAGGAAGACAGAGAGTGTATACACCGACGCCATTGTGATCGATTCTGAGCCATGTCACCAAGAGTCTCCAACCATTGGTTACGATGGTCACTAATATTAAAATTCTCATCAAACGTTTTTCATAGGCATCGCAATAAACTATCGAAATTCTAAATAAATACAGATTAGGCTATCAACTACTCTACTATATTCAAATAAGGTTGGACATAATTAACATAAAATAAGAGCAACGAATATCTGGTTTTGTTTGCCAACAGTAAACTTCCTTCTGATTCAACAGAGTTTAAAGAAATTGTAACATTTACATGGGCGAATTACTTTCTTTAGTATTTACTTTGAATTAAAAATTTATCTTGGGTATTTTCAATGTGGGTATCATATGAACATCTGTTCAAAAACCAAATAATAATGAGGTTAAACAAAAATGGAGAAAGTGGACAGCCTTGATGGACACCACTTGAGGTTGCGAAAGCAGATGACAGTTCGCCATAAGCTCTGACTCGACTAGTAGTGTTCGAGTAAAGAGCTTTCACAAGGTTTATGTACTTCTGAGGTACACCTTTCAATGACAGACACTGCCACAGAACCTCTCGGTCAACAGAGTCAAACGCTGCCTTTAAATCAAGGAAGACCATTATTGTCGGACGCCGATAAGTATGCCTGTGTTCTAGAACCTGACGAATGGTGAATATGTGGTCGATGCAGCCACGACCAGGTCTGAAGTCAGCCTGATTTTCACGTGTTTGCAGCTCACGAGTCTTAGTTAGGCGTCCGATAATTATCGAAGCTAGTATTTTAGATATTATATTAGTTAAACTATTCCCTCTGTGGTTGTCACAGGATGATTTTGACCCTTTCTTAAATATTGGGACGATAAGTGATTGTGACCAGTTAGATGGGATAACGTCCAACTCCCAGATTTTAGCTAAAATATTAGTTACCCTAATCGCTAAAATCAGACCACCATCCTTAAAGACCTCTGGAGCCAATCCATTTGGACCAGCTGCCCTCCCTCGTTTCAGATTAACTATAGCCTTTTGAACTTCAGCTAGAGTCGGGGGAACCTACTTCGATATTCCGTTCACACTGTCTGGGAATGGAGGGTAGTTGTAGAGAGAACCGAACGAAATAATAGGATTGCTCTATTACTGTTATACAATAATTCAGACACATCAACTGAGTCAGATGCGGTCAAAGCTTAATTTCTAAAACTATTTCAGCTAGGTTTACCCGAGGATATTGTTATTAAAACTTTTCGTAAACACACTGCTGAGACTAGTGCTTGTGACTGAGAAGGCCGTTCTTCCATCACTTGTTGGCTGCAAACCGAGCTCTGATTGATAACGATCACGACTGCTGTCCCCCCCCAACGAATATCGTTTCAGAATCAAACACAGTGTTGTTCAGCATGTCTTAACTCCCTAGGGATTGGAAGGATGGTATTGTTAATCTGATATTTAAGTATGGAAAGGGATAGATCGTGTCTAATTACATACCTGTTAGTTTAACTAGCATAGTAGTCAATTTATTTGAGAAAGTAATTCAGGATGTTATTAGGTCACATAGAATCATATAACCTGTTAACTTTTAAGCAACACGGGTTTTGAGATAGACATTTATGTTTAACTAACTTACTGACTGTAACGGAGGACTGGACAGTGGGCCAAGATAGCGTTTTTCCTGTCGATGTGACATTCAGATTTCAGCAAGCCATTTGATAAGGTGTCTTACTAAAGCTTTATGCAGAAGCTCTCCAGCTTTGGAATATCAGGTAAAATACAAGTGAATAAGAAAGTCCCTCTGACAGAGAATGAAGATAAACAGTACACTATTTGGATAAAAACTAGTTAAAAGTACTGTCTCCCAAGGCATCATCATAAACTGCCTATTTTTTCTTCTCCACGTCAATAAAATTACCATGACTGATGTCGTCGACAATTACTTGCAGGTAATGTCAAAGTCTAGAGAAAAATAAGTAAAAGTGGTCATCTTGATCTCCCAGCTAATCCAGGCGAATTAGTTAGACGGTCACAAAGTTGGAGTTTGGAAATTATTTCTAGAGAATATGCTAATGTACATTGGACACGGTAATAGTTACCAGTATGCCGTCAACGATACATAGCTTCCATGCATGTAAAATCTTGCCTTAAGTATTGCATCCAAACAGTTAGTCCATGTTTTACTTAGGATTTTATTACACTCGAGCATCATCAATGTGCAGGAAATAAGTTAGCGAACTCCCCTACAATGAGAGCTTAAACCTTTTCTCCTTATCTTATCGTGGGACGCGAGGTAACCTGATATTGGCATTCCGTATCTTGAGAAATTATTTATGTGTTAACATATCTTATCATTTAGCTCCCCTTAGAACTAATCGTCTGAGAGACCATCGCAATAAAGTTCAAAAACTGCGATCAAATAAACTCAGAGTAGGATTACATATTTCTCATAGAGTAGTCAATGACTGGAACGCCCTACCCGAACAAGTGTTATCAGCCCCATCAGTGAACACATTCAAGAAAAAGCTGGATCACCACTAAAAAACAAGCTGGAAAGATTAGCACAGATTGATCGACCTACTGACCAATTAATTTCTGTCCAACTTAAGCTGATAAGAAGGTAATCAATTTGGGTAACTTACCACATGGAAAAAATTAATATATTTGTTTTATGCAGTTATACAAAAATAACCAAAAACAGACATTCGAAAATATTAGTTTAATTTATACATTGAAATTAAGACGATCAGTAGTTTATATACATAAAAAATTAAATCTGTAGTAATATATATTTGTTGTATGCTACTTAGGCTGACAGATATAAGTAGTATGTATCAGCAATCGCAAGTGGAATGCCTGGCAGCAAGAGATTGAATTGAAGAGTATAGAAAGGAAGTCGAAGAGGAATCGAGATAATAACAGAATTAGGGGAATAATGTAATAGGTAAAGGACAACGCAAAGAAGATGTACAAGTAACTCAATTTCATTATGCATAAATAATTCCATAGAAAACTAGACAATTATTAGAAAACTAATAACTAAATGGCAAAAACCAATGTCCCATAGGTATCCTATGTAAAAATATAGTTCCACAACTTAAAAAGAAAAATGAAAATGCTAGAAAGAAAAGCACTCTTTCTGTAAAACGACGCCGACGAGCTAAAGATGTCAAATGTTTCGACTGATTCATATGTCCAGCCATTTCTTTCAGTTCAGAATAATTCGAGATTAATTTACTTGATGAATTTTCAAGTAATTCAGCATTAACAGCTCCACGTTGAACTTCTTCCGCTAAAAGTCTAGCATATCTCGTCATATCTTGAGTAAGTTCCAATGAGTTTTGATATTGTTCTTCTAAATTGGAAATCTTGTTACCAATTTCAGTTCTTGACGAACGATTAGTAAGTTCAGCCTTTTCAACAGTTTCTAAAGTTGAATTGGCTGCAAAGATCGCTTTACGATATCGATCCTGACAAATATCCAAAGTATAAAATTAAACAAGACTATAAATATTATAACTAGAAGACATATTTATATAAACAATAAATTACATCAAGCGTAAATCTGAGTTACAATTAAACATAACTCATTAATTCATAGGAAATTCAACCTAAATACAATAAAAGTGACCATTTTTGAAAATGAAAAGAATCTATAGGGATCAAGTAATGCGTATCATTGAGGGGGGATTAAATTTAGAAAATCAAAACACAAAGTTGTATGTTTACTGTAAGACAAATGAACAGAGAGATATGCTATTTTGTTTTACACAAGAAAACAAGTATTGAAACAAAAGATGTTAAGTCTTATGATCATTAACTGATACATTATCACAATATCGACGTGGGTATCGATGACAGTTTTCGGTTAAGTGAATAAAACTTCTCTTTGAAAAAGTTTCCTGGGCAATTTTCTTAAGCAATTCGTATTTTAAGAGCTTTGTTACCGAATTCTGTCTCAAATTAGTAACAAAACGACTACCTTTTTGTGTTATTATGAACAGAAAATTGACTAATATATAAAGTACTCGAACCACCGAATGATTAGCAACCTGTATATATTTTTACATACCAATCGATCATGTTTTTAAATTGGAATAGTGTTTACTTATCTAGTAAATTTTTACACGTATATTAATTAAATAAAATGGAATCATTTTCTGACAAGTTATGCTGTATTTTGATATAAATCCAACTGAGGTTTCGATTACGATTTTGTCTTCGTGTACAATTGTATTTCAGTAACGATTCAAACCGAACCATCTAAAGAACAGCCACAAATAAAATGCATTTTGTTTTGACTGTTAGTCAAGCGTAAAATATAGATAGAAAGATCTTGTCAACTGAAATGCTCCAATACCTAGAACGACCCGATAGTGTACCCCAACATTAATTTACAACACATGTTTTAACAGTGACTAGCCATAAATTATTTTGACAGCCAACCTAACTGAAATTATCCCAGTAAGAAAACCACGACAACCAAGAGTTAGTAATAACGAAAAGTAGTTTAGGTTAGCTGTCCGACGAATTTGTCGACGGAACGGTATTAATCATATCCGATTGTTACTGCTTCAATCTTAATCGAACGGTTGAGTCGAGTGTTTTGTTGGTACATTCAAAGAATCTCTGAAAACATGTAACGGGTCGAGGACCATTGAGATCCTAGACGGGTTCCTGTTCATCTACTACACTACACCGAACCTTCAATCACCCAATGACATCTTTCTGATAGAAGCTTTACTTGGTAGAGAATTGTGTACACCTTTCGATTTTATTGGTCCGATGCCATCATATGAACCTCAACAAAACATCTATAGAGAAGCAATTCAAACAACAATATAAAGCATAAAAATGATTGTCTACTGTGAGAAAGTATTTGCTATGAATTGCCGTGACAGATGCCTTACATGAATAGCCAATAGAATCCTGAAAAGAATAGGTTACGTTATCTATGACGTGTTAGTTGGTCTACCAAATTGAGTATTACACGTTAATCAATTGAAAGCAACTTCAACAACGAGAAGCATCATAGAATACTAGTTGATATTTTGTTTGACATATTCGACATTTAATCACCAGTATTATTTAAGCTCAATCTAGGGCACAAAAACAATACAATGTCTTTAATGACAAGAATCTGGACAGATATGAAGAGCAGACAGACCAGTCTGATGCAAGTGGATTGTAACAACATATCTGATACGATACCCAAAGATTAGACTTTACATTCAGGTCTTAATTGACTGGAGAATAAGTGACTAACAAGTAAATTTCTTCCAATTGCTTATGATATTTTATCAAGCTTATTTTGTGTTCATAATCTCTATATAAGCAGGTCATTTTCTTACATGAAAAAGCCTATTTATCTGGCCATTAGTAGCCTTGTCTTTGTTTTCTAATAATTCGGCGGCCTAAGCCGGTTTTGTGAGTAGCCATCACTATATCATTGCGTTCATGTAACAATTAGCATTTTATACATTGATTTTGACAATCAGAAATTTCACCCAATTAAATCATAACGGAAAACCTCCCCCCCAACAATATCCTACAAATCTACTCAAAGATAGAGATGTTAACAGAACATTGTCCTGAATATCGCATGCTCTGACCAGAATTAAATCGGGATACGCTAACTGGTTCATATTTAATCGACCAGCATTAGTGGACGGACCGAGATGCTAGATTTTCATGTAAATTCTATGAAACCTTCTGGCCCGGTTCAGTTCAACAGTCAATGACTTCATAGAATGATGGCGTCCTTTCGTTTGGCTGTTTCTAGATTTTTTCCAACCCACCACATCACGTATCATGTAAATTATGCTTCGGAATAATAGATATCACACATTTTATTTTAATACATATACCAAACATTACCTAAGCACTGACTGCTCTAGTTATCCCGAAAGTTACATTAGGATTCTGATGGTCAGTCTGCCCATAGATTTATTTAATAAAGCGATATATAGATACTGTAAAACGATATTGCGGTTCTGAGTTAAGAAATTAGTTTAACCGTGGCACACTGATGTCATGAATGAATACATTACACTAATATTGTTACACATCCGCATAAAAGATAGTAAAGCTCACTTAGTTGAAGAGATATAGAACAAGGTGACTAATGTAAAAAGTACATTACCTGCAGTGCAAAGAGTTGTTTTTTGTTCTGAACAATTGCTTCATACAGTGTCCTGTTTGTAGATGAAATGTTTGTTTCACGTCCGAACGTTTGCAATTCATCCAAAATTGAATTAATAGTTACAAGATTCTCTCTAACTTTAGTTTGGTAACAATCTAGTTTTTCTCGACAAGATTTCGTATTATTGATTCCTTTACTAATGATTTCAATCTCAACAATCAGTTCTTTTGTTTTCGTATCTAATGACACAATGGTCTCTAACTTGTGGTTAACTGACAAACGTGACATCTAAAAGAATTTAAATTAAAACTTATTACCGTGGCAACCACCTTGCAAAGATTTGTTAGAACTGGAATCGAATGCACATACGCAAACGCAATTAATTCGTCAGTACAAAGTTATTTGTAATAGTCACGGGTGTAATTCGTTAATGGAGAATCTCACTAATCATATATACCATTATTTAATAACAAATAAATATTAAATTATTGTGACAATTTTTATTTTTCAGTTTGTTTACTAGATACTTGAGTATGATTCAAACTCAAAGTGTGAAGGCTAATGATACTATCCGGTGGCTGAAGTCAGAGTGGGCCGATCGGGGTTCGAACCGAGGCTTAACGGTCGGGAGCCGTATCCATTAACAACTAGGTCACCGCACCAGAGTAAATTACTAAAAACAGTGTTAAAGGAAACCGTTATTATGTGAGAAATAGCTGTGGAACATGGTTATCCAAACTGAAAAAATTCAAGTATGACTTAGTAGAAAAGAACATTGAGTTATGCGTGTAGTATTCAAAAAACAGAACAGTAAATGCTATTTGGATCACTATAACCGACGCTATATATCGCAGTAAAACCAACATAAAATACTAAATAAACATACAAAAACAAAAATTTCGATAACGCAATGAGAAGACAGATTTAATCTGGAAAATGTGATGTATTCGCGTCATACATTTCGAACAATCTGGTTACACATATACTTGCCGAGGCATTTTATATGAAAATTAATAAAAGTCAATTAAATGGTTCAAGTAAACAAAGTAACAAAGGAGAAAATTAGCATCGAATAGAAAGAATAAGAAATTGTCACAATACCATAAGTTATAAAATGGCTCAAGGATTACCAGGGTAAATTCAAGGTTATGACTTGTTTTTGTACAAATAAGGAGGTTTAAATTTACGAATACATAAGGCTTCTATAAACCTGAGAATTCATCATTGAAAATTTCTCCGTTGTGTATGCCAAAATTTCTCATTTATCGATAGATGCTAAATACGAAAATCCCTATGATCAACTGAACCCTCTCGTCCCAACAGCTCTAGATAAGTAAAACTGGTTGATATTGCCCACCAATTTCACGGTTCTCAAATTAGATGCAAGAATATTCTGACTTCTAAACGTTTCGCTGCTTTAAAGAATCCCCAAAGTAGATCAAATATTGTGATCCTTAAACCAGACAGAGGTTTTGGAGTTGTTATTAATACATGTGACTATAAGGTAAAACTTTTATTGATACTTGGTGATCAGAATAAGTTCCTAGAAGACGTTTCATTCAATATTAATGTTAGAAAATTGGAATCCAGAGTACAGTTCAATCTACTGAAGCTCTTTAGAATGAATGTCATAAACAAAAAGGGACTTGATATGCTGAAACCTTCCGGCTCTGTTCTTTCGAGTTTATATGGATTGCCTAAAATTCATAAACCTAATAATATATTACGACCAATATTATCTATAGATGATTGGGTGCACCCATGAAACGCACATATTGTGTGGTTCACCTAAACATGAACTAATAGAATGGTTAGTAAAACTGCTAAACCCAATCCGTAATAAACTATGTAAGTTTTCCTTAAAAGATACATTTGAACTAATTGGTTTTCTTGAGGACATTAATATTAAGGATAAGACTTTGAATTCTTTAGAAGTAAACTTTCTTTTTAAGAACGTACCGTTAACTAAGACTGTTGGTTTCCTTTATGACCATATATCTACTAATTCCCCACTTTCCCTATTCAGTCAACATTGTTGAAAGAATTACGTTTGTTATGTACTGCAAATGTTCAGTTCACGCGCGATGTCTTTGGTCTATTAAATAAGTTTGACATAGGCAAATCGACGGGGCCCGATGAACTGCATCCTAGGTTACTAAAGGAATTAGCTAACTTCGTCGCGAACCTTTAAGTATATGCTTTAATCTATCCTTAACTCAGGGTCATTTACCGAAAGACTGGAAGAATGCCATAGTAATTCCTGTATTTAAAACAGGTACGAAATATAAACCTGAGAACTACCAACCCTTAGCCTAAATAGCGTGGTTGTCAAAAATTTAGAAAAGATCATTCGGAAGGAGCTGTTTGAGTATCTCGATGAAAACCGTATCCTTTCAGTATAGGTTATTCCTATCTCAATAATTCATTAGTTGCTCATGAAAGCTGGTGCGCTCTAAGAGACCAAAAGTTACCTGTAGACGTAGTCTACATTGACTTCATTGAAGTTTTTGACAAATTTTTTACGACTGGCTGTTATATAAGTTAAGAAATGCCGGAGTTGAAGGCAATCTATTCATGTGGAAAAAAGACTTCCTAGTTGGGCGCCAACAAAGAGTACGGGTGAACTCAAAGTTTTCACACTGGGAAACTGTACTTAGTGGAGTGCCCCAGAGTACAGTTTTGGGGCCAGTGTTATTACTCTTGTATGTAAATGATCTCCGCCTTCTATCATAGTTGGTCTTGCTATATGCTGACGATATGAAGATATGGAGAGCGATACGAAGTAAGGGTGATAACTTAGGACTCCAAAATGACCTGAAAAATTTATCTGAATGGTTTCAAACCTAGAAGTTGCCGATTAGTACTTCCAAGTGTATTTGATGCATATCGGTCATCAAGGTATAAATACATACACGACGAGTATCACTGAGCTACCTGTTGTCCAGACACACAATGACTTACGAGTCGTCGTTAGTCGAGACTTAAAGACTACTGCACACTGCCGTGCAATAGCCGCCAAAGGTCTTAGAACTTTATGGTCAAAACGTAGGGCTTTAATCGCGTCGATGCTAAAACGTTTTTGACTTTATATACAGTGTTCGTAAGTCCTAAACTTGAGTACTGCATACAAGCGGCTAGGCCCTGCCAAAAAGGAGTAGTGAACTTTTCGAAAAGATTCAGAGAACATCGACTAAGCTGATTCCCGGATTAGCGAAGCTCCCATATGATGCTCTAATGGTCAAGCTAAACCTATTCCCGTTGTCATATCGAAGAACTAGATGCGACTTGGTTACAGTTTTCAAATTGCTAAGAGATAAATTTGCACCTGATATGCCCTCATTTTTTTATCTTCCAAAACAAAGAATTCATGAGGATTCCAAAAAGGTTCAGAAGCCCAGGACAAATTACTTGTCAGCTGACTATCAACTTTACCATCGATTCATTATTATTATTATTAACGGATGGAATTCGTTACCTCAGAACGTGATTGAGGCCCCATCCGTCGATTCTTTCAAAAGGAAGTTAGATCAACTGAGAAACCATCATTACCAGGACTAACAGGTCACCAAGCCTTCCGTCTTTTCCGAACTTAAAATGAAGCCCACGTATTTCAAGTTTTTAATACACTGTTAGGCTAAAACTTGAACAGTATTGGACTAAATATGTTGTCGACTGTGTACTCTATTTGCTTTTTGAAGAATGGGCCCATTTTTGACGTGCGTTTTTGCGACAAATGTGTTATTCGAATTCAGGAAAATAAGTCGGGGGAGGAATTTTAGGGAAACATATTATCCAGCTATTGCCACCTGTTTCCACGAGAAATGTAAGGAATGGAATGAGGTTTCTGTGTTCTCATCTCGACTTGAACCAAATTTCTCTACAGAAATTCTCATAAAATTCTAAGAGGTTCACTTTTATATTCAGCGAGACTCTAATTTGTGGACGGAGCAATCAGAAGCGTTCGAGAGATTTCAAGGTCACGGCATGTACTTCTGTGCTTAATGCTAACGTAAGATCGGTTCAAAGGGAATTTTGTACAAAGCGGGTGAAACAGATAAAACGGCGAGGCTATAATTTGTAGACGAATCAACCAGGTATAAGATAATAGGTCTCGGATTTTGGCGCGAAAGCTTTTCATCCATTTGGCTAAATAGATTTCTAACATTATAGCTGTTGTCAGTTCGTGATGAAAACTCTACATATACTTCCTAACTAAGGCAAATTATGACAGTTATTGCGAACTGGATAATAAAAGCACCAGTAACAATGGCTGCAGCCAGGTACTACAATATATACGGATGATTGGAGAGTATACAGACTCTTACATAGGCCTGTTTGTGTGCAACGTGTCGTTATCCACAAGTGGCATTTGGTGTACTTAACAACCGGAGTGCGCAAAAGAAATATTGGAGCCATGTGGTTGAGGCTGAAAGAGTTTTTGAGACTTTATCATAGCTCCAGAATCCGAATATTCTGCAGCCATATGGATGATTTCCTCTACTACATGCATCACGATTTTAGAACCTCAGAACCTCTTTCGAACCTTGACAAGTTTTTGAAGCACGTATAAGAAGTGTATCCAATTTATTTTTTGGTTTAGTATAATATATTTTTACTCTATACTTGTTGTTTGCTGATTGTCTAATAATTGTCAAGGTCACCTAAGATTCGTTCAAATGTCGTCCATAAATTTTAGTCTCGCCTAATTTTCACTAGGTTGGTTAACTGAGAGATTTAGTTTGAATAGGTCAAATTGTGACTTCGTATATAGGTGAAATTATGGGCGATTACATCTTATTTCATGGATAAAATCCGATAGTCATACTATACTTACTAAATAAAGAACCACAGTCTGCTAAAACTAGTCAAAGACTCAACAGCACTCTTTGTTGGTGGTTGAGTACTTGAAGATCAGTTAAAAAAGTTACTTACACGTTGTTTCGATTTATATAAGCGGCAGATTTAAACCGATTTCAAACTTCATTAGTCACTTCAATGAATTAGCATGGCCTTTATGTGATAATGTGGTTTTTGCTTAAACCATTAAGTATTTGTTGCATCAAAAGCATATTTAGTCCACTTTGACTTGAATCATTGCGGTTAAGGTTTGAAAATTTCTTAACATCCGTTTTGAGGCACTCTTTCTTTAGTTGGTTCTCATACTAGTTAATATATTGTGTATGATATTCAATATTTTCTCATTAAATCTGTTCAGAGTGTTTGGCTGCACCTATGAGTGTGGACAGCCAAATTGTTTCCTTCCTGCGGGGGAAGGAATGCTAAGTAAT